ACACACACACACACACACACAGACAGGAAGCTGGTGTAATAAACACTCTTTATTTTTCAGGTGTGTGTTTTGTGTTTACAGAGCTGTGATTGGACAAGGGTCCATCTACACTGTACCAAATGTAACACTGGCAGCTGTCCAGGTGGAACACACACAGACACACACACACTCACACAAACACACACAGGTTCACTACTGAGAACAAACACTTTATTTTTGCTGTGATGACAGAAAAGGGTCAGAGAATGAAACAGTAGAGAAGCAGGACAGCGTCTGTCGTCTTGAGTTGGTTTCGCAGGAAGACAGGATGGGGGGGGTGGTAGCCATCTGGATTGGTGGGCACGGGGCAGGTTGGCGGCCAGTGTTTGTTACATCGACTGTTTTCGCAGGTGATCAACAGTAGCAAACATCTTTTTGGAAAGTTTACCCCCGTGATCACCGCTGACAGACTTAATAATGATCAGAGCTGCAGAAACAAGAGAGTCAGAGGTAATGCTAACATGCTAACTTAGTTCATTATGTTTTATTTCAGCATGTTAGCACATGTAACATAGATTACATAGAAAAGTACAAGCACCTCACGCATGATTAAAAACACATTTGTACATAATTCGGTGCTCTCTATAGCTGCTGTGCTAATCCTGATCAGAGTGTGTAAACGCATCAGGTTGATGAAGCCAGAGGTTTTGTATTTTACACACATTTTTGGCCTTGTGTCAAAACAAAGCTACATAAAACTGACTCTGTGCATGGCGCCCTCTGCAGGCTGCATCCAAGTCTGAAAATTCATAGAGCACTTTGTCGTAGGTGTTCTTACCTCGGTGGGTTTTTCCAACGCATATGTTGTACTTTTCGCCATTGGCATCTGACGCGGTCTTTAAATTTAAGGAGTACACACTTTCATCGTCCATTCTATCTGAGAGCAACATGCACTTTTCTCCATTAACTTTGGGCCCGCAGCTGGAGAACTTGGACCTGTCTCCACTCAGCACCTTGATATCTTCCTCCTGTGGGAGACACATGAGGGGAGGTCAGGTCGTGTGGAGTCAAACTCCCCCTGCTGGCTCCCAATGATTATTGTGAAAGGTTTAAAATAAAAACACAGAAAAACTAAAAATAATAATTGAACGAACTCTGTAAATACAATGTGTGCTTTGTGATGATGTCACTGACGCACACACTAAAATACACACAACTTAAACTGAACCTCGTCTTTTCCCTGTGCTCCTGAAACACTTCTGCCTTTGGTGGCCAAAATGTGAATTACAATAACAAACACGGATCGATCAATTCAATTATTGATCGGGAGGTTGATACAGAACTGAGCGTGGACGGACCTGACGGAGAGACGAGAGGAAGAGAAGAAGAGAAGAATGTGTGGAGGGCAAGTCAAGACAAGACACGACACTCTCTCACACACACACACACACACACACACACACACACACACACTACACACTACACACACACACACACACACACTACACAACGACCTGTAGAGACAAAACCAGTTCCTGAAACCATCCAGCCAATCAGACTGAAGCCTCAGCCCTGCAGTGTGTGACTTGTTGGCCCCTCTTTGTGAGGACCAGCTTCAGGGGCCCGGCCTCACAGGGTTCACATCTGAAACCAGGTGTGAACCAGTTCAAAGTGTAAAACAAACACATGGAGCCTGCAGGCGTGTGCGCGCCTGCCTCATATGTTGTGTAATTACTGCATGTCTTGATGCTCCTCCACTCTCACACTACGGGACGCAGAGAAGTCATCGTCTCCACTTCCTGTATTTGCCGCTCTTTTCAACATCGTGTCCTTATAAGGTAGTTGAAGCGAAACTCAGCCTGCAGCTTCAAAATGAAACGTCCGGAAACGACACAGCGCAACGAAACCTCAAAGACAAACTGTGAGCTCCGCCTCCAACAAACGCGTCTGCGTTTCCTGTCAGATAAAAACCGATGAACATTATCACACGACATTTTCTCTCAATCGAACGACTGAAAAATGTATTTTCCTGCTTGAAATGAAAACATTAATTCCACGTCCACAAGGTAGAAAGAGCGTTTTATTCTCTGTGAGACGTGTTCATCTCAAACTCTTGTTTCTCCTCATCCCAGGATTTCTTTTACCAAAACAATCACATTTTTTTTACAGTGCAGCAAGTCACTGCAAACCTGTACCACCTGCTTCTTTTCCTGCAGGGCCTGGGCTCCGCCCGCCTGCTCTGACGGAGCGGGAACAAGCAGAGCAACAAACTGAACACGCCCAAAACTCAAGAGAGGAAAAGTCCCAGTGCAACGCTCATTTTAATCAATAAACATGTTTTAAAATCAGGGGGAGACCCACCAATGGGGCAACAGCTGTCAGAGTGATGTCACAGGAACGATGTGTTAAACATGGAATCAGTTTTCATGAGGAAACATCACATGTCTTTCAGACTGAAGGAGGAAGTGGAAGAAAAGTTCCTCCTGAACAACAACTTCTTTTTACAGTGTTAAATCTGACAAATACAAAAACACATGAAGTGGTTTCTGCCTCAGTGTGTGTGTGTGTGTGTGTGTGTCTTACAGGGAAGGAACTGTAGTTTGGTGTGCTGGCCCACACAGTCTTACACTCAATCCCACAGATCACAGCGTCTTGTACGATAAGCTCACCATTTACAGGCAAGCACAGGTTGTCGATGTATTGTTGCCAAGACATCCTGAGGAATAACACACACAGACACACAACATGTGAATAAGCAGAATCACCACAGACAATCACCCAATCAATAAACTCAGAGGGTCCGTGTGAGCTTACCTGTGCAGGTAGAGTGTGAGGTATGAGGAAGAGAAGGAAGAGAGACGTCTACTGCAGAAAGAAGGAAGACAAGTCGTCTTTTATACGTCCAACCACTCCCAGCCTGCAGGCAGCTTCCGCCCTCGCTCACTGTCAACCAGTGTCTCTCACCCACTCTCTCTCTCTCTCACCTTGGAAGTAAAGAATAAGGAAGTGTGCAGATGTAGTTCACACACACACACACACACACACACACACACACACACACACACACACACACACACACTCATACATTGTGGACATGCTGGAGGAGGGGCTTGTCCGTCATGATCACTGACCAGCATCAGACCGACGACCCCTCAACGACACACAGGTGGACAGGAAGTGACATCAGGACGGCGTCCGTATGTTCACTGTGAATCTGAACAAGAGAAAAGTGACTGAACAGGAAGCTGCAGTGAAACCGTTTCCACACAAACCACTTCCTGTTGACACAAACAGAACACTTGCTGTCGCCATGGACGACCGTAAGACACTACTTGTCTTTGCAGCTGCTTATTTAGTGATTTCTTCTGAGGCCTCTTCACTCAGCCAAACCCACAGAACTGGACCTGCAGTGCATTGTGGGTCCTGTAGTTCGGTACTGAAGAATATCAAAATGGCCGCTGATTTAAAATTAAAGAAAGTTAAAACTGACATGTACACACACACACACACACACACACACACACACACACACACTCAGAGAGACACTCTCACACATACACACACACAGACACACACACAGAGACACTCTCACACACACACAGACACACACACAGAGACACACACACACACACACACACATACACACACACACAGACACACACACAGAGACACACACACACACACACACACAGACACACACACACAGACACACACACAGAGACACTCTCTCACATACACAGAGAGACACACACACACACAGAGACACACACACACATACTTGAACCAGTTTAGACGTGTGTGTATCAGGAGTCTCAGCGACGTGTTGAGACCTGGTGAAAACTCACTGGTACTACATGTACTTTTTACTGCAGACACACTGGTACTTCTACTATATACTATACTAACTACACAACACTAGCAGTAATATAAAATACTTTTACACACGTGTGTCCCAGAAACATCAGTGTGACATGGAACAAGCTGATTGGATGATTCTCAGCTCTGTGTGTTCCTGTTCTTCTATCCCTGTGAGGACCAGTCTCAGTGTTGCTTGGTGTGTGTGTGTCTGTGTGTGTGTCTGTGTGTGTGTCTGTGTGTGTACGCAGACAGGCCGGCATCTCTTGTGTTATCCTCTGGATAAAGTTGTGAACTTTGACCTCAGGGCATTTTTTTTTAAGAATCTGAAAAACTCCAACTGACGAGTTTTTACAAGTGAAAGGAATGTGTAGCCCAGGGACACACACACACACACACA